TTTTGTAGACCCCCCAAAGACCCCCTAACCCGCCAAGCTGCCGTGACAAAAGAAACCCCCCATAACCACCAAATTCAGGGAGGGAGGGTGGGACAACCTGCTTCCTTCGTCGATTCCAGAAAGAGGACGTCCCTCTGCCCTCGCAGTCCCTTCCCATGCGGCTCCTCCCAGACACCTGACTCCCACGTCCAATCAGGTAAGAGCAGGTATTCCCATTTTATTTTTTAACCCTTTCTCCCGGGACTATTCCTCCCCCCAGTCATGTAGCCCCTCCGCTTAGTCTCTCCGTGTCTGTCTTTATTTTTCAGTGGTACGGAACATTGCAGTACAAATCCTGAGATCCAGTAAACATAGCTTTACATTGTGTTAGCTTATTGTTTACATTCTTTCGAATTCAAATAGCAAAGGTCACAAAACAATGAAACGAGGAAGTTAAATGTTCCCAAGAAAACGATGTGGTAACTCTGGTTGTCGGAATGTTGATGACTCTTTACTGGGTTGGATTTGAGCCAGACTTACTAGATGAAAAGAACCAGGAAGTATCTTTACTAATACTAAATGCCTTATATTTAATGACTGAATTCTTTATATTTAATTACTTAGTGCTTTATATTTAAAGCCAAAACTTTTACTTCTCATTTTTGAAGAAGAGTTATAATTCTTGTCTTTTTTTCCCTCTGTATCCCATTTCCATTTATTTCCCCTCCTGTAAATACAAGAGTAGGAGAGAAATATCACCTTACATAGCTGTTACCAAAACTAGTGTCCCCGATGGAAAGGTTTCCCTTCTATTCCTACTCTGGTGACAGCTCAAAGTTTGGAATCCCCTTCATTTCCCCCACTTTCTAGTGGGCAGGATAATAAAAAGCGCAAACCTCCCTAGAGGGGATGCAGACAGCCATTTTGTTTCCTCGATTGTCATGGTATCACCGTTGGCCATGCACCCTCCTCAAGGTGTAAAAGGTAAAGGTGCAGAATGTATTCGGATCAGCAATAAAAACCTGACTGGGGCTTTAATCCTTTTCAGCTCCAAAACTAAAAAAATATTTTGAAAACATTTTTGACTTACGTCCAGATGGCTCATATCTTGGGGACGGGTGGATGTTTTTATGTGTCTTTTCCCTCTCCTGCTCGCGTGTGAGGTCTACCCCTGTACTGTGCACAAAGTGAAGCTGTATATGAGCAGGGACACCAGGACCCCGTGGTTGCCCCTGTATGCCTGGCATAATGACATCCTGCATCCAGTTTTCAGCTGGCTTGAAATATGGACACAACACATACAAAAACTCAAAATCCAGAGTGTCCGGGTGAATCCCAGACAAGTGGCAAACATGTTTATTGCTCAGTCAAAAGGATAGCCACTGAGCCCCCCTGGCTTCTAACAATGTATATGCCTTGGATACTCCGAGGTGAGCTTTATCTGCCGTAATTTCCAGGTGTGTTTACGTCAGCCTGGCAGTGTTGGGCGTTTCCATCAACCTTTGTGTGCCCCAGCTCCTGTTACATTCTCTATAGTATTAAGAACTAAGCGCAACTAAGTTCAAGTGAAATATAAGAAACTGTTGGGTGATTTAACTCTCCAGAACGGATGCACCGATACCAGTATCAGTATTGGTGCTGATACTGGGCATTTTCACAAATACTGGCGCTTTAAATTTTTTTATACATTCGTCTGCTGTAAGGTCCTGCTCTTTCTAGTGAGACAGCACCCTCCCACGTGCAGCCCTGGTGAGACAACACAGCCATGGTGAGCAGTGGCGGACCTAATAACCAAAGGGCCCTGGTGCAAGATTTTATCATGGGCCTCCCTCACAAGACAGGGAGGGGGGGCGCGGGAGCGGACCCCCCCCCGCCACTGCTTGACCTGCCTATATGGTAGCGCCTGCTCTGTAAGTGACGCACCGGACTTGGGAATAATCGACGCGCCGGACTTGGGTGGGTGGGAGCGTGGTGCCATTGACTTCAATGCCCCCCTCCCGCCACAGAACACAGGGGGAAGATCACGGTGCGTTCCAGCAGCTACCGCTCTGGGACGCACCGCTTTCGGTTTCAACAAGCCCTTATGATAAACCCTCCCCAGGCCCACCTACCTACTTGTTGCTGTCACCCTAGTTGGTGCAGCCTCAGCCTGGTCAGATGCTCTGCTCCTGCAGAGCCCACACTGGATGAGCAGGAAAGTACCGCTCGCTGTCCACAGTGACAGCCCCGGAGCCTCCATGCTGCCCGGTGCCGCAGCATCTACCATGATCGATCTGCCCTGTCAGCTTGCTTGGGACGGCCGCGGACGGGTCGCATCTCACTCGGCCCGGCATAGCCCCGCCTCCTGTCCCACCTCGGCCCCTCCTCTTCCACCACCTGACCGTTCTCTCTGTGCGGCCCAGCTCACCGCAAGGACCACAACCGCTTCCCTCACCCCATCAGGGCCCTCTGGCGGCCGCTTGCCTTGCGGTAGCGCCCGGCCTGGCTGTGGGGGTGCCCTGGACCTGACCCCACTGGGCCCCCCACAGCCTCAGGCCCCGGGCCCCCGCACCGGTTGCACCGGTGGTAGTTCCGCCACTGATGGTGAGACCCACATGCAGCCCTGGTGACACTGCACAGCCCTGGTGAGACCTGCATGAAGCTGTGGTGAGACCGCACAGCCCTGGGTAGACCCTGCACACAGCCCTGTTGAGACAGCACAGTCATGGTGAGACTCGCACGCAGCCCTGGTGAGACCTTCATGCAGCCCTGGTGAGACCACACAGCCATAGTGAGACCCGCATGCAGCCCTGGTGAGACTGTGCCCAGCCCTGGTCAGACCCCGCACAACCCTTGTGAGGCCCCTCACAGCCTCATGAGACCCTGCACAGCCCTGGTCAGACCCTGCACAGCCTCCTGAGATGCCGCATAGCCCGGATGAGCAACACAGAGTATGTAGCTTTATATTATTCTGCATTGCTGTATAATGGATTGCTGAGATTTGTAGTTCTCTATAGCTGATGGTATTCTTCATTGCTTTATAATGTATTGCTGAGATTTGTAGTCCTCTATTGCTAGTGGTATTCTTCATTGCTGTATAATGGATTGCTGGGAATTGTAGTCCCTCTACAGCCTGGAGTCAGTGGCAGAATTACCTGTGTGGCAATGGTTATAGCTGTGACTGGGCCCTGGTGCTCCGTCACTGTCCTAAAATCATCAGTCTGTATTGTTTTAGAAAAACTGTCACATGACAATTAAAAAAAAGGTATCGGTAATTGGTATCAGCTAGTACTTGAGGAAACGTACTAGTACTCGTCTTGAAAAAACGGTATTGTGCATCCCTACTCTCTAGCATCTACCAAACACTGAATGTCACTTTTAAGTGGACTGACTAACTGATATGCCTTTAACCAAAAAGAACACCATTCCAGATCCAATCATATAAAATGAATTAATGTCCAAAAGTAGTATACACCATTTATTGGCCATGAGGTTAAGGCTGTGTTGCAGCTCTGATTACTGGCAGTGTCCCAAGAAAGGATTTAGATATGTAAATGTAATTCTTCCTTCTTACCTAATATTTGCTGATTACACAGCAATCCAGAGATAAGAGAAGAGCATAGAAAACACAAAACACAAAGCTGGCACTTTTCTTGTTTTTATACCTTTCTCCCCTGTGGAGAATTATTTACACAGACAGACAAAGGCAATTGGGACAAGGACAGCATACATCAAAGTGTCATTCTATAGTGTGAAGAGTTTCTAGGAGTCCATTTTATTTCAGTCAATTTAGGTTAAGCTGTGCCCCATTCAGACATACGGTGACAGACAATGCAGGCAATCTCTGCTGTCACATGTCAGGGAGTCAGGGCAGGGAAAATTACGCTACTCACTTCCTTTGCTGGGCTCTGACTGATGACTCATCCAATGCAGACCCTGGCAGAGTATTGTAGACATTTCTATTTATAAATTTGAGCACATCTGTCAGCAGATGGGTTAGTGTGTTGTGACAGCTCCGGTGGTGTACGTTGTATCGCATACAATTTGTACATTCCACTCAGGTTCCCGCACGGCAGTGCGGTGCAATGTACTGCCATGCGGCAACCTATGGTGGTGCAGGTTATTACTTGATGTGTAAATGGGCCCTAAAAAGGCCAATACCTCTCCTAATGCCTGGGACTGAGGTAAGCGATAAACTATTTAAAATTAACTCCATTACAAAAACTAGAGGCCATAACCTAAAATTGGTGGAAAAAAAATTCCAGCACAAGGGGCGAAGGGGGTACAGTTAGAGCGGTTAGGGTCTGGAACTCACTGCCACAGACAGTGATTTCAGCAAAAAATGTGGAACTGTTCAAGAAACTTTTGGAGTACAAGTACTCCTAAGAATGAGATCCTATAGGTTGGACTTGATGGACTAATGTCTTTATTCAACCTCAAATACTATGTAACTATGTAAGCTGTCACTGCAATCAATTGTGGGTACACTCTATCTGAATGGAGCTGGGTTCATTCTAAGGTACAAAAATACCTCCATATGCCATTCTGTATGTTCCTTCTTCCACACAGCTGCCAACCTGAATATACTGAAGGACCGGGTTTTTCCATCAATTGATTTTTTCTTCGCTGATGGCACATTGGGCATATTCCAAGATGACATGCCTGGATCCCTGAGTCTCCAATTGTGAAAGAGTGGTTCAGGAAGCATGAGGCATTATTGTCACACATGGATTGGCCACCACAGAGTCCAGACCTTAACCCCATTTAGAATCTTTGGGATGTTCTGGAGAAGACTTTACACAGAGGTCCGACTCTCCCATCATCACTACAAGATCTTGATAGAACTTCCCAAGTGTTCCAATTTTCATTATTACTGTGACCACCACTGATGAAGATATAGACCTTCACAAAGAGACACAGTGCAGACCAAGGCATAGTAAGTTATTAATGGGGAAATATTAGCTGCAGGGATTATTAGTTCTGGATCATCCAGGGAAAGGTTAGATCCTCTTTTTGTTACTACTGCCACTACTACTACTGTCTCATTTCCTGCCCCAGTAACACCTCGGGCATGCCAGTGACCTGAGCTTCCCATTTCCCCTCTGTAGAGTGCATTCTCTGTATATGGCTTTGGTGATCGTGACTTGATTCTCCATGTGAATATATCCAGAATGCACTCCTGCAAAAAAGAACAGGAATCTGAGCTCACAGCTATGCGCTTATGGTCATTGGGACAGGAAGTGAATGGAAATCTCCTAAATGGGGATGCATGTATTTGCACCTGAGAGGATCTAACATTAAAGGGTAAATCCACTTTCCTAGGTGAATCTGGGATAGTGGACTCATCCATTAATAAAACACAAAATGAACAAAGCAAAATAATAATAAATACATTATAGTAGGTGAAGGTGACCAGTATTCAAAAACAGGGACATTTTAAGGTAAAAAGTTTTCTAGTTACAAATTTCCATGGTTGGGATTGTTAAAATCAGGGACAGTATTGGCCCCTCTCTTGGCTTGTCTATATATCCTATGATTTAATGAGCATTACACAATGGGACATATTGAAAAGTCAGCACATAAATGTTTTATTGGCACAGAAAATGTAATACAATTCAGTAAATTAATGACAGCTAAACTAAGAGAACAGAGAAGGGTGTTATTGGGACTCTAGACGCATTCTTATCATGTGGACAGAATCTTATCATGTGGACAGACCTATGATGTCATCATCTGGACAGTCTGATGACATCATAGGTCCTTTCCCTTTTCTACAGTGGTGGGCAGTCCCTTCTCCTTGCCTGAGGTGCGCTCATGTAATAACATGTAAGCACCACTCAGTCTAGGAGTACCGTTACCCAGGAAGAGGGGCTATGAGAGAAATTAGTTTAAATGGCACTGGCTGTTATTGAACCTGGAAGACTGCCAGCATCTAGTGGTTGAGAGGTACATCAAGGGACAGCTCTAAATTGAAGATATTACAACAAAAACAGCAAAAGTTTTTTTTTTCCTTCTTTAAAGTCCAAGACAGCACATGTTAAAAATAATCCTGGAGTTCAGCTTTAAGAGAAAACTGTACTGTGGAATTATAGTGGCTGCCATTGGTAATTCTGAAGATGCTAGTAGCATGTCTGGCATGCGCCTCCAATGGATTTAATACCTTTTGACCTGGAATTATGCAGATGAGAAGTTATATATTTATTGGCTACATGTTTATTAGGGAAGGATGATTCCTATGTCACAGCACAGGTCAGATTTAGTCTTACCCTGTGTGCCTGAGTGTATATTAGCTGCTGTCCCATTGTAATGAAAGGATGCTAAAGTATCAAGTGAATATATTTAGTGTTTTCACTAGATCTTTATTTTAGTTGGTCCCTTTTCACTAGCCCGATATTGAACTGGCCCAATATTGGTGGCTGTTTGCATAAATCTGACTTTTCTTGAGCAGCAACGCAAGAGTAAACTAAGGAACTAACCCAGATGGCTGGCTCCAAAGGTTCCCCCTGCCGCCCCAGATAAGGTACTCTCGTCCTTTCTTCACATCTAATGATTTACAACACTTAGTGGGACTGACAAAATTCCTTTGTTTCCCTTCAACAAATTCGTCTGTACCTGTTGCTGAAAAAGAAAACCAGAAAAAGCTATGAACAAAATACTGAATACATGCCATAGAAGCAGATGGAAAGTTAACTCACCTTACAATTTTTATTTTACCAAGTGCTCTGCTGTTGTTACTGTTCTCCATGTATGACCCTGGCTCTGGCTGACTGATCTCCTGGTTCCTGACTCCGGCTATTGTTTCCGTTTATTCTGCTCTCAGAGTTCTCTGACCTGGTTTGGCTTACTACCCGCTTTGGCATTTGACCCCTGGCTTGGCATTGACTACATCCTGGACATCCTCCATTTTTGTTTGCCGTTTTTGTTCTTTGTTTTTCTCAATAAACGCCTTTTATTTGTATCCTGCACTTAAGTTCTGTCTGGTTTCTTAGTTCCGTAACATCTTTGTTATCTATGTGTCTGAATTTTTCTTGTTCACATACCTAGATTAATGACCTTGACTATGGTCATCACATAATTGTCATAGTTGTCAATCAGCTGGACTTCATCTAACCGTGCCTTGTATACTGTCAAGAAAAAAAAATCCTGTCAACATCATCAATTCATGAAGGCACAGAATGAGCGAATCTTAAGGCTTCTCACCATAGTCAACTCCTCTTCCACAAAGTTTCCAGAGCCTGTCCTCTGCGTGAATTGCACGTTCCAGTTGTTGCTGCAAGAAACAGTTTGCTGCATAACAAGAAGAGCTGAATGTAAACTTTCAGGAACAAGTGGCAGACTATTTATCTTCTACAGCAGAGACTTGCTAAAGTGCTCGAACTAAGACTGTTTAGGGTATTTAAACCCTAACAATTTACTTTGCTTTTGCACTCTCTTTTGGTCTGCTAAAGTGACACTAAACTCAGAAAGCGAGAAAGCGTTTTGTTATATCTGTGCGATATAACTGTTGGCCCTGCCAGAAATCTGAAAGCTGATAACTTCCTGAGCTCTTTTTCTATGTTACAGTCTTATCAGTTTGCACTGATGGCAGGAGGGGGAAGCATTCTGTAGTCTTGTCCTAGGGGTCCAATACTGCTCCCCCATAGACATAGCACGGCAAGTAGGCGTTGTCACTCTAGGATATGTGTTACTAGCAGGATCATTAGGTTACAAAAATATAAAAAAAAGAAAACCAATGCAGCCACCATATCCAAGGACCAATGAGCTGCAATGCTTTACATTTTAGTTCTCGGGTTTAGATACACTTTAACCACTTGCCACCTGCCTGTTGTGCATAAATGGGTAGATGGCTCACTCTTCAAGGTGCATGAGCAGTCCTCTGTGAATGCACAGAAGTTCACAAAACAAGGTACAGATCCAATGTTGTGTATGAGTGTTGCTGGGTCTGTATCTATCTGGATTTATATATGCAACACTTTTTATATTGTTTTCCTAATATAGATGATGGTGTTTGAATAATGGGCCCTACTCTTTTTGATGAGGTCTAGATTTTATATTTTTAGTGATCTATGAGGATACAATAAAGGTTGGTTGTTTTTCACAAATAGACCATCTATGTTCATCATGCACTTAGAGATTCTAACCAGTGGCGTCACAAGGAGGGTGCGGGGGTGCAGCCCGCACCCGGGTGACACCATTGGAGGGGTGACACCAAAATGACTCACAAAATGGTGACTCGGTTACTGCTCCGGGTGTCACCCAGCCTCGGAACGCCCCGGTTCTAAACACTAACCACTCTACCAAACACTCTACTGGAGACACTTTACAGCAGATAGATGACAATTAGGATTGATGTTTTCAGCTGCATTTCAATGTTTTACTTTGTATCCACAAAGAGAATTAAATGTCCGACTTGTAATCCTTACCCTGTGCACAGTCACACACCTCTCTCGGGCAGATAATTGTAAGCAAGGCATTGCCTTCTTCTACATTGTAGAATTTACTGCAGCGGTTTTCTGTAAAGAAAAAAATAACCAAAACGTTCAGTGTTACTGTAACATCTTGGAGGTCTCCCATTTGTGTTTGACTAGAAGACCATGCAACTAAAGGAGACCTTTGTCTGTTTGTCTGCTGGAACTTGTGAACTGACTCCTTTGAGCCCTGGGCTCCATTACAGGCAGGGACCAGTGTAATGGTTCTATGTGCTATGTACGTAAAGTGAAGAGAAAATAAAGGCAAAGAGGCCATAGACAGGGTTCAAGATGAGCAGTGCAGCAAGAGGGACATGTCTATAGAAGTAAAGAGAAGGTGCATTTACCTGAATGGCAAAGTGGTCTTCTGAGCTGAACTGCTGGGGGGAAAGGGCAGTGGCATTCACATGAAAGGCCTATTTGCAAGCAAAAGGCCTTGTTCTAAATGTAAGACCAGTTTCTCCATGAGGTCAGGAATGGCAGGTACATTTCAAGAGACTTGAAGGCCCTTATCAGTTACAAGTAATCGGAGACGTTAGACTTGGAACTCACAAAATCAACATAGGCACAGTCACTGGAGGGGAGCTCCTTCGCCCCAGGACATCCATAGGATGCTTTCTTTCTTGGTTCCCTCTATAAACATGATACCGGGTATGAGATCCAACACCGCATTTTACCTTTTCCTAGGACACAGGGCAGACACCGAGCACACCACCCCTCGCTGCACAGACAGGACCTGCCTTGGTGCTAAACACACCTTCCTCTCCTTATTTTCCCAGCCCATACCAGATTGTAATCCAGTACGGTTCAGTAGAAAACATTAAAACTTTACTTATAACATAACAGTTTTTCCAGCATTAAATGGAAACTTTTCAAGCACATTGTTACAGAAAGGTCCATCCGTCACTGCAAATATTTTTCCTCATGAAATGTAACTTAGTTAGTCCCAAAGAAGTACAAACATGTAGCCTGCCTCTCCTAAAGTAACTATTTCGGAGGACATCTTGTCCCAAGAGGATACTCACTAGTAGTCCATTTTAATGGGAAACCCTTCTCTGCTCACTCTGCAGGCCCAAACACCACAAGGCTCAACCCATCTGCCTTTTTATAGCCTATCTTCAGCGGTTCAGAATGATAAACTTGTTAATCAGCAACCAAAAGAGCAGGACCTCCCCTAAACGGACCCTACATACAGGCAGGGCTGGATTTCCGAGAAAGCCAACCAAGGCCCGGCCTTGGGGCAGCAGAAAGTAGAGGGGCAGCAATGGTGTGGAATTCCTATCTTCTGACGCCCGGTACATGCAGTTCTGGGCGCCGGCCAGGTAGTTGTTTTCTACATTTAGCCCTGCTTTGGGCAAGCAGAGCTAAATGTACAGCAGGGTAGCCGCTTGTTTTGTACAAGTGATCACGATTTCGCTGAGATCACTTGTATGCAGCCTGCAGGTCTGCCATTCTCCATTGGGTGGGTTGGTGGGTAGGGGGGGCGCATTGAGGAACCTGGCCTTGAGGCAGCAGAGAGAGTAAATCCGGCCCTGCATACAGGCTGGACATCATTTGAAGAGCTTCCCACCCTCATACCCTATTTGTTATGCAGTTTGAGGGCCGTTGAACACATTCATTTATGTCACATTGTTGTTGGGGACCCTTATAAGATATGGTGTCTAGTTTTTGGGCCCCAGGATTGATGTATGATGTATATCCTGCGTTAGGTTTCTGTTCTTATTCCTGTAGTGCAGCTGGGGGCCTATCGCGCAACAGAATTTGGACTGCAGATACAGTGTCTTTGTGCTGCCTTCAAGAAATGTCAAACTATTTTCTTGTTTTTTGTTGATAATTATTGCTATTTATTGTTTGTAACTGGATTCTGTTATAAAAAGCTTTTATGGCCATTTAACTCCATTTTGGTGTGGTCTAAGATTGTGATGGGGACATGTACTGGCAAGGGAGGATATGGCCTAGCGGTCTTATTAGCAGACTTCCTCTGAATACCTTTATGTTAGATATGGTCCTTTCATTGAATTGAATTGGCTTTAGACTAGTCACTTTGTAATGTTTTTCTGTCTTTATACCCGTACATGATGTTGGAGGCGCAAATCTTTACCTGGTGTGTAGTAATCATACAATGTGACTGACGCAGGTTGGATGTTTCCCACTTTAAAGTACTGATGTATGTGAAACTTCAGACACTGTTCCTCAGTGTGAGGGACCTGGGAAGAGGGGGGAGGATTGCAACATATGAATATTTGTTATTTCATTTTCTGCATTTAATAATAATAATAGTACTTCAAAAGGTAATCTGTAGTCTTTTAATATGAAAGTGGACGGCCTAAAGCTCATCTGTGGGCAGGAAGTATTAAATAAAAATAGCAGCTTTGTCTTTAAATGAGAACTATGAGGTGAATGATTTTCACTCACCTCATAGTGCTAGCCGACCTGTGACAATGAAACTGTCACAGGTCGGCTCAGTAGATCGGGAAGGGAGCGAACACATACCGGCGTTCGCTCACTTCTCGATCCTGTCACTGCAGAGAGCCATGACAGGGGAGGGACTGGATTCCCCACTCCGATCCTCCAGCGCTGACTGGCGGAATGGATGGGGGAGGGGGCGCATACAGCTGGCTCTGCCTCTAGATAGGCAGAGCCAGCTGTCACTCACGCAGCTGGGCGGATCCAGACATAATTGTCGGGATCAGTTTCAGCTGCGGTGTCTCAGTATACCGCGGTATACTGAGCTTAGGGTGATGGGATGACGCTAGTTTGTGTCCTCGCGTTACCCTTTGGAGAACTATGGGGAAAAGCCCTAACCCCATAGTTCTCCTTTAATACTCATCCCCTCTCCGGCGCTGACCCTAGCAGTAATTCCTTTCTGCCACTAGATGTCCTCAGTGCTATTCTATCTACCTACTTTCTGTGAGTGCAGGCTGTCACTGACCCAACCTTGAGGGGTCATCATCGTGGTACCCTACACTCACAGTACAATGCTGCAGAGAGTGGCACTGATGTCATCGTGTCAGCACCATTTTGCATCATTAAGGACTGTTGTCCACCCTTGAAGAAGCAGACGTGAATCGTAAAAGCCATGTGACCAGCCTGAAGACATAT